TCTGTATCTATTATAGTTTTCAAGATAATAGGCAAAAATGAAAAAAAAAAACTGGTAAAATTTGTCAGTTAAGGGCAATAACTCCCATAAGAAGTCCCCTAACAGTTTTGACGTAATTAGACAATTGGTAGAGCTCAACATACTGAACATTTCTGCCCGTGTCAGATTTTCTCTATTAATAATGGTTTTCAAAATATTAGACAAAACTCATTTTAAGTGATGAGAAAAGCCCTCTGGGCCAGGTTAGCTAAAACAGTTGCACCAGGAGGACATGATACACATGTCTTTCATATGCATATTGATATTGTTGCAAGAATGAAATGAAATATTGTAGAAAGCTTTTATTCAAAAGTCAGTAGAATTAAAGAACCTTTGTGAGCATGCTCACATACCCCACGCCCCCACATTGTCACTGGACATACAAAATCTCACCAGATTCCTAAGTTCAAAGACTCATCACTCTACAAAAGTCAACTGATTAAAATTTTCTTGTGGATATGCACATTTACATATCATGTCCTCATTAACTACAAAATTTTATGAAATTCTGTTGTGTATTTTCAGAGGAGTTGCGATGACAAACTGTATATAAAGGCCAATAAGTTCAAAAGGCTTAACTCCTAGAAAAAAAATTGAATCATAATTTCCTGTCGATATGCACATCTACATAGTATGTCCTTATTATCTACAAAGTTTCATGAAATTCTGTTGTGTGGTTTCAGAGGAGTTGCGATGACAAAAACAGGACTTACGGAAAGACGGACAGACAGATTTCGTTGCGTGGGGTATATAACCTGGCAGAAAACATGCAGGATATCCCTGGGCATATAAAAATTGCCTATTAAAAGTTAAAAGATAAAAAAAAAATTTAAATTAAAAGGGAGCTAACTTTCATCAATTCAAATAACAATATTCAGTTTGAAGTAAATTGAACACAAAAAAATGCACAACCAAGTCAAGTGTGTGAAATTTGAAAATTGTCTAGAATCTGATTGTAACAAGATGATTACTGGTACTAATTCCAACAATTGTGTTCCAGGAAAATTAATCTGAGCATATTCAAGGTAGTGTGTGACATTTGAAAATTTTACTTGTTTGAGTTCCTTTACCCACTGAATGATGAACCACAAAATTTCCAAAACTGAAAGGGAACTATAACTAATTCTAACAACAGCCAATGGTTTCAAGTACATCAATCCAATCATACTTGAGTTGTGTAATTTAGTTCACAATATGTGAAAATTTGTCGTATAATTTGGTCTAATTGTCAAAATATGTTGTTTTATTTTATGCAAATTATCAGTGCTCATGTTTATCCCTATTTTCTATGAAAAGAATGCCATACTGGATTGTTTGCAGAAATATTGAATAAAATAATATTACAGCCTCTAACCAAAATCTAGCTTTTTTGCTCAAATGGCTTTCGATAGTTCTAAGAGGTTAGCCCCCAATTATTGATTCCAATATTCAGGCATGTTCCCTCAGCCTTAGACAATTCATTGTTATGTTGATTGTTCTCTAGATTAAAGCTGCAGTTTTTACTTAATTTCAAACTTGAAAATTGAAATTGGATAAAAATTGGAACTTTGGAGGGATGGATTCCCTTCTCTGCCTAGCTTCCACCAGGACAGAGGTATAAAAATTCCAAAAACAACCAAAACTCACAAGAATATAATAAATATATATGTTTTGATAATTCAATTATGCTTTGGAAACGACTGCTTTTGGTTGCAAGTACAGGTAGAGCCAAAAATCATTGAAATCTAGATTTGGGGTTAAATTGGCCTTATTTAGAACATTTTTCCTCAGAGCTTAGCAATTTTGTGGTTCATGTGTTCACTGATGCCCTATGTCTTTGAAGGTTACACCTATCAGAATCCCTTGGTCTTGCTGGTCAAGATACTACAGGATGAAAAATTCGTAAGGGTTCCACGGAACTCAGTGTCTCGCCTACCTTTGCTGTTAATCGCAGGCTCAACAAAAATGAGGAAAAAAATCAATAAAAATATTCCTTTAGATACTATCTTTTGATTGTAAGAAGCTTCTGTCAAAGTTTGGTATAAATCCAGGATAGTTTATGAATCTAATAAATGTTTTAAAAACTTTAACTGCAGACTGTATTTAATGTTAACTGGAAGAAAAACTAAGTCCATTTATAAGTAAAATACGGATAAACAGGTACAAAATTTTAACAAAATTTCCTTCTAGATACTAGCTTTTGATCAAAAACAAGCTTCTGTCCAAGTTTGGTACAAATCCAGGATAGTTTAAGAAAGTTATTAAAATTTTAAAAACTTTTAACCACAGAGTGAATGAATTGTTTCCTGGCAGAAAAACTAAGTCCATTTATAAGTAAGATATGGAAAAATAGGAATTTTATTTTTACAAAATTTACTTCTGGATACTATCTTATGATCATAAACAAGCTTATGTCCAAGTTTGGTAGAAATCCAGGATAGTTTAAGAAACTTATTAAAATTTCAAAAACTTTAACCACAGACTGAATATTTGTGGACGCCGACGACGACGCCAACGGAATGTAGGAAAGCTATGTCTCGCTTTTTCGACTAAAGTCGAAGGCTTGACAAAAATCACCAAAATTGAAGCATTTGCACAAGAGGGCAAATACACAAAGCTGATTTATAATACCTATATAAAATATGTATTCATAGTCTAGTTTTAGGCTATCATCAAAATAAAGTTAGTGGTCTGAAGTATCACCTTATTCAAGTCATTTAAAATCTTGTCATCTAAAGGATATACATCTAAAAAGAGACTAAATAACATATTCATTATCTTTATGCAACTATGCTTTCTAATCTAATTTTCTGTACCTAAAACCTGATATCAATAAATCTAATTTAATAATGAGATAAAAGTTGCAATAGGAGTACACTTTAAATTGTCAATCTGTAGTGTGCCTGACAGATGACTTTCCCTATAGCAGTTCTTCACTAATACTGAGAAAAATTTAATTACTGGGCCCTCTGGGAACTAACGACATGATGTTGAACAAGAATATGTATATTTATCGCCAAAAGCCATAGCAGTCAACATTTCATCTGCGTTATTCATGGCTCAATTCACCTCATGTGGAGACTGAAAAGTTCCGAAAATATTCCTTTAATAGATAATTTTTTTAACAGTTCTTTTATCTAATTTTATGTTTGATAATATTTTTCTGTAATTTCTTTGCATCACACTTCATTTTCCCATTTCCCTTCACCTTCCTCTACAAAAATGTCAAACTTAATCACTTCTTAAAATCTTTCATTTAACCTTATTACTACCAAAAAAATAATGTCTTTCAAAAATATCTAATTGTTCACCATCATATTTACTATAAAAATGTCATTGTTTTATATAAATTCAAATTGAGAAGTATAAATGGATGACACTTTCGATTTTTTAAGTACAAATGTGGCAACATGATGTCAATGCTTTATGATGTATTGGTACTTAAAAGTTTTATACCAAGCAATGTCTACACTTGCTTCAAATATCAAATTTATTTAGAAAATAATTAAGAAAGCAAGAAGATAAAAAGAGACATAAATTAAGATGCATAAAGAAAAAAATATCAATATCATTTACAAACAGAATGAAAGTGTGTTCAGGGACGGAAGGACATTTTTCAGGACAGCAGGATTGGAACTTTTGTTTTTTTCAGGAATTCAGGATTTACACTAATCAGGACTCAAGAATTAATTTTCAGGATCTGAGAAAGAATGCTTTATTTTTTCGGGAATTTGGGATTCAGTATTTATCTTTCCCGGGAATTCAATATGACACCCCTCCTACCCTCCTCTGTGTTTGATTTGTCATTGGGACATTGTCTTCTTTTTTACTACCTAATAACAAAGTGTGACACTAAAACTCTGATAAAGAAATAATTTCGATCATTTCGTTGCTAGATCCACACATCACTGTATCTGGTCCACGAATCAACAATAAAAAAAGAACGGGTTCCAATGTCCCCCGCGTTGCACATATTTTATCTATCTATCCAAGGTACAAGGGCAAAAACTAAAAAAGCACTTTTTTTTGTTCTTTAAAACTTTTTTTATTCATATATAAGAGAAATAAAGGCTTCAGAGCAAATGCAATGTGATTTCCATTATAATTAATATTTCCAAGGGCATAACTCGTTAAAAATATGAGATCAGCACTTATTTTAAAAAGTGTCAAAGATATTGCTGATATAAACCTATGATATAAGTTTCATAAAATCCAGGCAATAAATGTACACATGAGAGCGCTAACAATGCAATTTTCCATATAATTAATGTTTCCCGTGTGCATAACTCTTTTAAAAATTATTGATCAGCACTAATTTTCGAACTCATTTAAGACATTGCTAATATAAACCTATGATATAAGATTCATAAAAAACTGGCAAGACTTGTACAAATGAAAGTGCTAACGATGCAATTTACCATATAATTGATGTTTCCAAGGGGCATAACTCTTTTAAAAACAATTGATCAGCACTGATTTTCAAACTTGTCCAAGACATTGCTGATATAAATCTATGAAATAAGTTTAATAAAATTCCACCAAGAATTGTACATGTGAGAGCACAAACAAGACTGGAAGGACGGACAGATGAACGGACAGACGGATGCCCGGCATTTCTATGTCCCCTGCAACGTGTTGCGCAGGGGACAAAAATCATGCAAAAATCAATTCAAATGTTGTTTGGTGAGTCAAGTCAGAATACTAAACCAATTTTTTGGTAAACTTGAAGAAAAAATTTCACAACAGACTTCCTGATATAAATATAAAACTAAATTCTGTGAATTTCTAATTACCTGGTACCTGGTACCAGTGTAATATGGGTATAATCTGGAATGCGGATCTAAATGTTAATCTGGAATGTGGATCTACATGTAGAAATTTTAGTCATGCATCACTTTTCTATCAGACGCATGAAATTTATAACATGTTGTTTTCATTTTTTTTTTTCATTTTTTTTTCTATAAACCATAACATATTCTTACCAACAGACTGTTCTCCAACTTCAGCAAATGAATAGGGAATTGTGAAATTAGCTGTTTCCTTTACTGGATATATGCTGTAAGTTTGGTTCTTGGTTCTTTCTTTTAAAAAATTACTGCAGGTTTCAGCTGTCATCTGGTTGGTCAAATAATTTCTGTAAGACGACTTATAGTCTTCATTAATAATGATGTTAACTGGTCCCACTACATCTCCAATTTCTAAATCAAAATCAATTACAGTTAATTCTTTTCATTGTTTTGTACCATTGAACATATCATTGTTACGAAAATACTGGTGTGAAAGAAGTTCTAAACAAGAAGTAATTTCATCATCGGTTTGGTGATGCCTGAGTGTGTCTGAATGAAGTGTCTAATATGACCAGGAGTGTAAAGATAATGAATGCATAGACAATGTCTTAAATGTAAATTAATATGATAAACAGTATAAATACATTGAGCCTTACCAAGTGTAACAAATAGCATTGCCTTTTGGAGGAAAGTACTTACTTGCTATCAGGAAAATAGTCATTTTAAAGCTAACAAATCCTTGAACTAGACAAATTTGCAAAAAATGTAATATGTAGTAAAAACAAGGAATTTGGAATAATTTTGAATTCTGGAAAATTGATAAGAAATGTATGATGAAAACTAACCCAACTGAATAGGGTTAGCCATACGCGCATAGCTAAGGTTCATATTACTTTACTGATATTTTAGTATGAACTAAATAACCCCCCCTTTAGCCATGCATGCATGGCTAACCCTCCTAAATTGGGTTAGTTTTATCAGATATTTCTTATCAATTTTCCAGAATTCAAGATTATTCAAGATTCAAATAATACCTTGTTCAAATAAAATAATTCTCATGTTCCTGACTTTCAAAAGTCATGAGTTATTTCTTTTCTCAGGTAAAATGTCTTAGAATTTTATCACTTAATCTAAATTTTAAAAAATCACAGTGCTTCTTTGAATTATCACAATTCCAATTCCAAATATTTGCCTTTAATCGTTAAATTTGACGTTTACCAGTACCTAATTTTATTTTAAAATACAAATGTTCCTTACATGCTTACAAACTATGAAACTTATGTATCTGCAAATATTTTTTAACCTTTCAAAAAAAAAATAATGATTCATCAAACCTTCAAACTTGTAGCATTGCTAAGCAATCATTAAAAACAAAAAGAAATATTCTATGTAGAAACCACCATCACCACTATTGTCCCCACTGAGACACCCTCAATCCCAGAATTAAAACCAGTATAATGGTGATTATTAAGTGTTTATCATCCTAGTCAATTCATCAAGATTGAACAAAAATGAATAGGAATTCTACAATATCATCTTCCCTATAAGATACAAAAACTTGTAAGCACATAATAACATAAAAGAATTCTCAACCATCCAAGCACTCGAGACTAATTCAATACCTCTGTAATTTCCCCTCTTCATCAAGTTTTCATCCAATCTGACAAAGTCTGATGAATTGTGTCCAAATCTAATAGGATTATTGGTCGAATGATTCATTCTCCCATTCTGTCCAAAGCTGAACTAATATTGACCAAAACTAGTCGAAACACACATAAATAATTAATAATCATATGTCTTAGCTTAAAAAAGTAAGAAAATCTTTTTCCTTCCCAAGACTTTCAATTAAACTGACAACTGTAAACTTGCACTAGATTCATGTGAGAAAGAGCCAGATCCTAGTCCTCTAGTTCATATTACAACTTAAACAAATTCTGTTAATAAAAATAAAACTTTAGAAATTTTGTGCATTGGAATAGCTTTTCTGGATTTACCTTCATAGGGAATGCTTAAACTCAAACATTTAAAAGCCAGGGATGTATAAACATGTAGAAACTGTCAGAGCTATGTGACCAAAAGGGACCTGAAAAGAAAGCCATATTCATCCAAGGTCAACTTTGCCTGTTTGACCTGTGACCTATCCTTATGTTACTTGAGTTCCAAAATTTGCGGTACAAAAAAAAATTTTGATAAACAAATTAAAATAGATTTAATCATTTGCAAAACACAGACTAACAATTGAATGCTTAATATTTTGAATTATGTACCACATTGCAACATCTGCCACAATTAAGAGGAGTAATACTAGTGTAAAAATTTAACTGCATAGATATTTTCTAGTCGAGTATACCGGAATTTTAGGGATGTTTCCTCATGTACATCATCCTCCTTTCAAATAATGCATAGAATTTGAAGATGACTATAAGGTATGGTTTTTCTCATTGTTGAAGGCAGTATAGTTGCCTATAATTGCTTACATCCGCTTTATTTGAACTTTAGTGGATAGTTGTCTCATTGGCAATCATATAACATCTTATTTTTATTTTACTAAAGACACCCAAGTTGACACTGAATCAAACATTAAATAACATACTCACTGTTACCTAAATAACCATTTTATATGTACAAAACATACCATCTGAAACAGGAATCAGCTTTGGTATTGCTATAGAAACTTCAAGTACCACATCAGTATCAACAACTATCCATTTCTGTTCAAACTTCAATGTGACACGATCTATGTAAGGTCCATTGGTTAGATAAACTGCAAGATAGTCCTCAGAATGACCAAATGGTAGGAAGATCTGGCCACTGTTCACATCATCTGTACTACTGTTGGAACTGAAAAACACCCATTGTATCACTATACAGATATCTACCAGCTTCCTAGTCTTAAAAGACTATGTGTAATAAGGTATGCATCAATTTTCATATTCCTTTGGTTTCTTTTGGCCTTGATTGGTGGTAATCATACTCCAACCGTGCTATTAATCTTCCAGAATGTAAAAGAGTGCACAAACTGAAATATCTCACTCTGCTTTACTGATCATGATTGAATTAATGATAAAAGTCTTGAAGATAACAGTTTTATTTCAAGTATCACATAAACTAAACATTAGCAATGATCCATGTAAATGAGGTCAAGATCAGATGAACCCTGCCAGACCAACATTTACACTTTACAATCATTCCACTCATCTTATATGATTAAATTATTGCTAATATTATATGAGAGAAGACCAACCTAACTTCAAAAACTAAACATTGACCAATGAATCAGGAACACAAGTTCAAGATCAGATGAACCAGCCAGATGGGCATATACACCTTGCAATCATTCCATACACCAATTATAGTTAGCCTATTGCTTATAGTATCCGAGAAAAGGACTTAACCACAAAAACTTAACATTACTCATAATGAAAGAACCTTAGTGAGCGCTCTCACATACCCCACGTCCCCACATTGTCATTGGAGAAATAAAATAAGTGTAAGAAAAAAAAAATTGTATCAGAAAAAAAAAATGGCAATAACTCACAAAGGAGATATACTAAAATCTTGAAAATTAATAGAGACCTTCATTAAGTTCCAGGAAACAACATATTTAAATTTGAAAAAAATTTATTAAAGCGTTTTTATGTTATTGTGCTCACACTGTTTGGCAGCCACCTGAACCGCCCAGCCGCCCGCCGTATATCACCATTTTAATAACCGATATTTCCTTCGAAAATCCGGTTAAAAATTGAATCATAATTTCCTGTCAATATGCACATCTACATAGTATGTCCTTATTATCTACACAGTTTCATGAAATTCTGTTCTGTGGTTTGAGAAGAGTTGCAATGACAAAAGGTTGCAGTAGTATATTGGGCAAATAAGTTCAAAGGGGCGTAACTCCTGGAAAAAAAATTGAATTGTAATTTTCTGTCGATATGCACATCTATGTAGTATGTCCTTATTATCTGAAAAGGTTTCATGAAATTCTGTTGTTTGGTTTGAGAGGAGTTGCGATGACAAAAGGTTGTAGTAGTATATTGGGCAAATAAGTTCAAAGGAGCGTAACTCCTGGAAAAAAAATTGAATCGTAATTTCCTGTCGATATGCACATCTACGTAGTATGTCCTTATTATCTGAAAAGGTTTCATGAAATTCTGTTGTGTGGTTTGAGAGGAGTTGCGATGACAAACTGTTGCAGTAGTACATTAAAGTAAATAAGTTCAAATCGTAACTCCTAGAAAAAGAATTGAATCGTAATTTCCTGTCGATATGCACAACTACATAGTATGTCCTTATTATCTAAAAAGGTTTCATGAAATTCTGTTGTGTGGTTTGAGAGGAGTTGCGATGACAAGAAAGATGGACTGACGGACGGACGGACAGGTCAAAAACATTATACCCTCCGCAACTCGTTGCGTGGGGTATAATAAGTGAAACATCATGAGCAGTCACTGAATCATGAAAATGAGGTCAAGGGCAATTGACATACTACATAAAGAAACGTTGGAACACATCATAAAATTGAGAATGGAAATGGGTAATGTGTCAAAGAGACAACAACCAGACCAAAGAGAAAAAAAAAGACCAAGGCCACCAATGGGTCTTCAACACAGCAAGGAAATCCCGCAACCGGAGGCAGGCTTCAGCTGGCCCCTAAACAAAAATGTGTACTAGTTTAGTGAAAATGGACGTCACACTAAACTCCGAGACATATAAATGAATTAAAATTAAAAAAACATACAAGACTAACAAAGGCCAGAGGCTCCTGACTTGGGACAGGTGCAAAGATGGGGCGGGTTAAACATGTTTGTGATATCTCAACCCTCCCCATTCCTCTAGCCAATGTAGAATAAACAAACACACAGCAATACGCACAGTAAAACTCAGTTAAGAAGAAGTCCGAGTCCGATGTAAAAATAGGTAACAGAAGATACTAAGCAAAATGATAATGATACATAAATTAACAAAGGACTACTAGCAGTTACTGACATGCCAGCTCCAGACTTCAATTAAACTGATTGAAAGATTACGTTTTCATCATAGGAAAATCAAGCAGATTCCCTCCCGTTAGTGGTTTAGTATCATTCCATCTTAAAATATATGAGAAGAACATAATCTGTATCATGCCAACAACTGGTTTTAGAATAAATGTGTTTATTTCTGATGCAAAGAACCTATGAATGAATCAATATTAATTCCAAAATATGCCATCTTTAATGACCTGACAACAGTATCGTAACTATATCCCTTCTGAATAAGTCTGTTTAAAGGTTGGTTAGATTCTGAAGTGAATAATTGTATACAAAGTCCTAAGAATAAAATATTAGCAATCTTAATTCCCTTAATGCTTCAAGTTATGATCATTGCAGAATCTGACCTATTACCAGCTTTGACCACTGCATGATGATGAATACAACAACGTGAAAATCAGGATATGCTTACCATTCTGAACAACTCAGATCACTACTGATTTTATAGAACTTGGCATTTCCCATCGCTTTAGTCTTAAAGGTCTCCTTTTTGGATTTCTCTCCTTTAGTTTTTTTTTTTTTTTGTACACTTGTCTCCTTGCTTTTGATTTGTCTCCTGTATGTTTTAATTGTACACTGAGTTTCAAAAATTTTAGACTAATTTTGACATATTTGGTTTGTACCTTTTATTCACAAAAGGTCTTACAATTTTATAACCATTAGTACTGTTCTTATTTGCTAAGGATTTACAGAGAGTTATTAGTAGAAGCACAATCTTTAGTAAAACAAATATGTTACAATAGGCAACTGTTCCATATCTGATAGCTATCATAAGACCTTAAAGTGTTTGTAACATGCAAATGTTTGTTGCAAAAATCTTACATGTGCTTTATGAAAATATAACATTTAAATGAGCAATTGTTCATAGGAAATTTTAATTTTTGAAATTTTAGTATGGAGCAAACATCACAAATGGGAATCACCACAAAAACTTTTCTTCCAGTCTTTTTAATCTAGAATTATATTCCTTTTATCAAAATTAAGGTAACTCAAATGTTGATAAGTCTACATCTGTATTCTACATCAAGAAAACACTACTGGTACATGAAAATAAATAAGTATTGATTGATGATTAACATCCCATGGCAAATATTACATACATTTTCAGACAATAACATGATTAAACTAAGAACATATCCTTGCTTTGTAATACACTTCAAAGGTTATTTTAACCATAAAATTTCTACAGGGATCTAATTTTGAAATGCAAAACTTACAGACTGGCTAATGCATGAAAAGATAATGTTTCAAATGACATTTCTGATTTATATTTTTTCTCGCAATGTAAATACATACACTAGATATAAATTTGTAATATTCAAATTGAAATTTGCTCAAACTGTTGAATAAACTTCAAGGCAACATTTTTAGCATTTCAGCAAATGATTTTGTGAACTAAATCTTTATATAATTCTACAGCCATTAAAGAAAAAGCAGCCACTGCCACTGTTCAATAAAGTTTTTTTTTTAAATAAAACAAAACAATATTACTCTCAACGAAAGATAATTTAATTTACAAACATATTTAATTGCATGAAGCAACTGTAAAATTAACTTGAACATGTCTGATCATGATTACTATAAGTACTGCAGAAGTGTATGCTTCATATAATCTATATCATTGTATTCTAAAAATCTTCCTTTTATCTCCCAACTTTTCTCTCCCTTAATCTCTTTTTGATCAGGGCAAAAATCACAAAGTGTACTGATAAACCTTAGTTTTGCACCATAAAACATGAATTTAATCTAAATTTATAACATTCAGGGTTGATATCCCAACTTAATATCAGTTTAAGTCATTAATTAACCTCTAGGAAAATCAATGCCATAAAAGAAACCTATCCATACCACAAACCCATCCAAACTAAATAAAATGTCTTATGCTAACACAGGTCTTCCATTCAATAAGCAATACAATCATTTTCTACTGAAAACGTCTGTGGATTATTAAATTCAGCAGCATTTAATTTCTCATTTTACCATGTTCAGTTTAAAACTATTTTCATTGGAGTAAGAGAAGTATTTGCAGAGTCTGCACTCTATCTGAATCATTACTAAATGTCACATGAACCCCTACAGCAACTTAACCATGATGCAACAAATAAATCTAGACATTTTTGCACTGCAATATTTTATTAATTTTAAACTATGGGTACTGGTACATAAATCCTATGAATGAGGTGTATTAATCAAAATATAATTGAATTATTTTTTTTAACCTGTTCACCATCTTTAGAAATTTAAATAGAATTACCTATTGTTGTATGATCTCACTAAAAGGAATTCGCACTTTGATTGTTGTGTAATTTTTCAAGTTGGATAGCATTTAAGCTGTCACTGAAAAGTGCATTTATGTCATTTATGTCAGATAAAGAAATCTGGATGATAATTTAAATGAAAAATGCATGAATATTTAAAAGATCAGTGTCAATTCAGTTTATCAATGACTGCATGAGGCTCTGTAAGAAAAGAATAAAATGCTCCACTGGTAGCAGCTTGATACGACCGCAGAGTTAGAACCCTGAAACAGTTGGGCAAGTATTGATACTACATTCAAGCTTGATATAGCTCTGAATTTGGATTGTGATTAAATATTTTCCGCAGCATAGGTTTCTGTCACAGAATGAATCTAGTCAAAGAACTGAAAAATTTAAATTGGACTTTTACCTATTATGGTCCAATTTCCAAAATCTAAATACACAGTTAGATTCAGCATATCCAAGTACACCAAGAATTTTATTTATTTATTCATTAATGCACAATATTAGTTCAGTTTTTAAAGGAGGTCGCTTCATAAAAAATATATATATCTAT